CGCCCCTGCCCCCCCCCCGCCTCACCATTTCTGCTGGGCTTGTTTCGTTTTCTAACAAAGAACCCAGGTTGTTTTATAAAGCCTCCTCCCTTGGAATGGCATATTCAGTGCTTTTTCTGGGCAGGTGTCATGATGCTTCACATCCCTTGAATCATGTAGGATGGGACCCAAATCGCTTAGTTTTAAAGGGTTTCCCTCACCTCTGCCACGAGTTTTTCAGCCTGCAGGAACTAGGCAGCCATATCCAGGCATATCCTAGTGGATTTTTTATGCCCTTTCTCCTCTGAAAACCTAAACAGAGGAGAAAGGAAAGAATGACTGGTTAGCTTTCGGTGCAGGCAAATGCTCACAGGCAAATACTCCTATTTTCAGGTACCCTCAATCCTGTATCCCATTGCACTCCTGACCCCTAACTTCAGGGCTGAGTGCAATTTCCCAGGACTCTGCCATGAGCTATTACAGTGGAAGCCAGGAGTGGAGCCCCTGGAATTTTCCCTTGTATACACAGCTGACTTTCAGATACTTTACCCATCCTAGACCTCTAGGCGCCTCATGCTAGAGAACACAGAGAGGGTACTTCAAGATGATAATAAGTCTTCATCTCACTGTATCCTGCATGGACTAGGGTCTCTGGTGTCCCACACGTCCCCAGGCAGTCTCTGTTCTAGGCAGTCACACTCTTCTTTGCTGATTTTTCTCTTGTGACACTGTTTCTCACGTCTGTTTCTTTCTGCTCAGATGTCAGCACCGTTCCTTGTGCTACTGCAGCTACCTTGCCCATCAACCATTTGGAAGCTAGCTCTCCCCACTACCTCAATCCTACCCAGCCTCACTCTTCACCAAGGGGCGCCATAGAACTGGGCAGAATCCTGGAACCTGGGTACCTGAGTAGCGGAGGCCAGTGGGACATGATGAGGCCTCAGAAAGGGAGCGTGTCTGGGGACATCTCCTCGGTGTACCAGCTTAACTCCAAACCCACAGGTAAAGCACAGAGCCAAGAGGATGTGTTTGAAATGACCTCACTCAGTTTACTCCTTCCCTACCGGGGCAGGGCTTTTTTCTTTCCTTCTCTAACCCCTAAGAGTTTGAGGAAGACAAAAGGGCCAACCCAGTGCTTGATCCTTTGCAAGTGTGTCCTGTCCTTCTCATTGCTCAAGGCCACCGTGCACTGCTGGGACATGGGAAAGTCGGGGACCCACCTCCTGTGTTCTCACATTTATGTTCTTCACACCCTACTCTCTCAGACCTTTCTAGAAGCCCAGGCACAGACATGCGCAGGGTCTTTCTCCCATGAGCCAGGAGTTTTACTGAGACACACGATCCACAACCACATAATTACACCAAGTGGAGGCGTGTGGGTCAGCTGACAAATGCTGGGATGCAGTTCAGTTTGAACAGTAGGACAGTTGTGATTTTCAGAAAAAGACAGAACCTAAGGCAAACTGGTGTCATTGATGCAGTCTCTTGTTAGTGTCTCTCCTACTCGTCAGCATCTGTTTTCTTTCCTTTTATGGGTGCTCCTTTTTCCTCTCCAATCTACACATAGACTATACTTTCTTCCTCCCTTCCTGAAAGCAATTTGATGGAAGTATTCCATATCAGTCATTAACCACACAGAGTAAGTTGAAGGTCTCGTATTCCTCCTGGAGGCCTTTTTTCTAAGAGTAGAGGAAGGACTTTGTCCCTGGCTAAAAAAAAAAAATGTTCAGTCATGTTTCAGTAAGCAGAAAGGTAAAGTGAGTCCTCTGTCATTCTCAAAGCCACCCCTAGCGGGTAGCCACACCTTTCCAAAGGGTCGGCACCTTTCCAAAGGGTCGGCAGGCCTGTCCGGAGGCATCAGTTAGTACTTTTGTAGAACGTGTGGTGCTCCGTTTCATTTTTCTGACCTCTGCGGGAGGAGATTGAAAGGTTTTCCTTGGTGAGGGACCATCCCATTCTTGAAAGCCCCTTTACTCTCTACACGAGGTACCTGGGTCCCCTGGGTGCCTGTTTGAGAGGGTGTAGTTGGCAGAAGGGTGGTGATGTTTAGAGATGGTGCTCAGAGGCCACTGGCTGAGCTGTGTCCCACAACCCCAATAATCCGTATTCTCACCTCCCACTTTTCTCCACATCCTGCTGGGCTGGCTGCAGGGGCTGACCTCGTGGAAGAGCACCTGGGTGAGATCCGGAACCTGCGCCAACGCCTGGAAGAGTCCATCTGCATCAACGACCGCCTTCGGGAGCAGCTGGAACACAGGCTGAGCTCCACGGCCCGAGGGAGCGGTAGGGGCCCAGCCCACCCTGCTTTAGCATATTTAGGGAGCTTCTAAAGGAAGGCCTTAGGCAGAGTTTCACAGTCCTCCAAGGACTTTCCGTATGCCTTTCACTTGTTTCCGGTACAGTCCAGCCGAGGAGGTGGGGCACGTACTGTCATTCTTACTTAGGAACCTGTCTGAGTTAGAGAGGAACTTTCCTCCAGGCAGAACTAGGTTCCCAGGGTTTCTTGACTTCTCACCTCATCCTTAATCTGTTTACCTTCTGTTTGCTGATCCTGTGTCCTTCTGATTGGCATGCTGTCGCCTGCCATGCCTGCAAGGGCCTCCCTCTTTTCCTAGGTGCCCTTCTCCCTGTACTCTCAAGCCCAAGCTGCTGTCACTTGGAGGCTACCTTTCCCCTTATGGTTGCCCTCTAGCACAATTACAGCTGTAGCATGAGATAAGTGTCTGTAAAGAATCCACTGAGAAGAGGCACACACAAACTGGACTTGAGTCCTCAGTGCAAAATCAGCATTGACTCCATTGTGTTTTGTGCATCCCAGGCTTTGAGTCCCAGGACTTCCTTCTGAGTTGGGACTGCAGACCTTTGGGAGGTAGAGAATGGGAAACTTTTGAAAGCATCTCTAATCCAAAAATGTGTTTTCTGGGACAGGATCCACCTCTCACGTCTACAGTCAGGGCATGGAGTCCATGCCTCAGCTCTACAATGAGAACAGAGTCCTCAGGGAAGAAAATCGGAGGCTTCAGGCTCAGCTGAGTCATATTTCTAGAGGTGGGTGGCCAAAAATCACGAACTGTGGTGACTTCTAAATCTCTTTCTTCCCTGACTACATGAATCACCAGTTGGAGAAGCAAAGTGATAACTGCCCAGATCCACCCACCCTCATAGCTCTTATCAGTCCCAGTGAAGTCCCGTGGACCCTCAGCCTCTGAGGTTCTGGGCTGAATGGAGCTAGGAAGTCTATCACTTCCAGAAAGCCCACCTGCACATGTCCAGAGTCACCAGCTATCAACCTCGTCAGTATGGAAACTATATAATTCAGCTTTCCTGTCACTGGGGCACAATACCCGGGACCCACCACTTAAAGGAGGAGACTTTTAATTGGGCTCATATTTTAAAGGAGATTCGGTCCATGGTCTTCTGGCTCCCAGGCACAAACATCATGGTTGGAGGGCATGGCAGAGGAAAGCTGTTCAGCTCATGGTGCCAAGAAAGCCGAGAGAAAAGAGAGCTGTACCCTCCAGAGATGTGCCCTCAGTGACCCACCTCTTCCAACCAGGTCCTACCTCTTAGCAGTGCATTCAGCTCTGAACTCATCAATGGGTTGGTCTACTGATGAGTATTAACACCCCTGTGATCTAGTCACCTCCCAGAAGCCCCACCTCTGAACACATTAGACTTTTGGAGGGCATTCCAGATCTCAACCATGGTTGTGTTCTACCTATCCTCATTCACAGCTGATTTGGACCCACAAAATGAAGGAAGATGTGTGTCTCTGTTCCCTCTCACACATCTCCAGACAGCGGCAGCTTTGCATTTCCCTCCTGGTCCTGCTCTGCCATCCCTCTGACTCCTTACCACATCCCTTCACTCACATATTCTGGCTGCTCTCTGATCAGTACTCCTATGACTCTGTGTTGGGAGGCATTAGCAAGTCTGCCCTAGAACTTCCCCAGTTCTTCTGGGTGGGCATCCTTAGGTTGGTGTCATTTCCCGTGTGGCTTTAGAGACAGCTGACTTTAGTGTTACTTGACTTGCTTGAATCAATAACAATTTTTTTTTAATCTGCAAACATTACTAACTAGCCATAAAAAGACTAAGAATGCTATCTGAATGGATTAAGTCCAGAATGAAGGAATTCTTGTGGAGGCAAAAGACATTAAGAGATATTTCTAAGCTATTTCCAAGTGAGAAGGCAGGAGAGGAAATGTTCCTGCTTGGGGAAGATAGTAAAAGTTAATGGATAGGAGAGAAACAGAGCAGTTGAACTACCACTGCATGCTTGGAAAGACTAGAATAGGTCTCTCAGGTGAGAAAAGTATAAGAGATTTCAATGTATACAATTTTCTGGGCCCAGGTAACTTCTATGCCAGAGGACTGCCTGAACCTGCAGTCTTTTCCTCCTGGTCACTGTTGACCCTCTTTGAGGAAATGCGATTGGGGAGATGCTTCCAGCCCAGAAAAGAACAAATGTTCCCATTCTAAAAGTGATGAAAACACTATATTCTAAAAACCATAGATGAGAAATCTTACTGATCTTTGGCAAAATTCAAATATATTGTTGCAAAGATGGTAAGTGTGCACCTAGAAAATGGTGAGTTTTAGACACCAGAGTGTCTTCTTTAAGAACGAAGGAGGCCATCATAATTCAGAACATGGGGACACTGCAGGAACAGAGGTGCACAGCCCCCAGTGTGTGTGGGATACGGTAAACCAAACACCTTGCCCACTGGTACAGCGCCTTCTGACCGCTCCCCTCAGCTCTGCTGTTTCAGGACAGGCGTGCTCTGGCTCACGTCCTAGCTGAGCTTTGGTACCTCTCCACAACCCCTGTGTTCTGCCCACCAGGGCACTCCCAAGAAACAGAACGCTTGAGGGATGCTCTGCTCGCTTCTCAATCCCGGCTTCAAGACCTGGAGAAGGAGGCAGAGCGGCAGAAGATGGGGCGGCAGCAGCTTTTGAAAGACCTGCAGGAGAAGCAGCAGGAGATCGTGCACTTCAGGGAAGAACGTCTCTCCCTACAGGAAAATGACTCCAGGTAAGAAGGGCCCTGTTGACAGGGAAGGTGGAGGCAAAAGACATTGAGATTTAGAAGAAGGGAATATTAGCAGTGCCCCTTTTTGGAAATCTCACTTGCTTCTCTGTTATTCCTGCCTTGTGGGTATAGTCGAGCAGAAGCCTGGGAATGTCTTTGCACTCTGAAGTAGAGAGAATGAAACCCTGTTATGGCTTCCATTTATCAGAGACTGGACAAGGAACATTCACATGCTTCCATTTAGGTTCAAGATGGTATTTTCAGCCTGGCCTGGAAGCTGCAACACCAGCTCCAGTCTGAGTCATGCTCCTCCCCAGCACAAGCCCTGCAGCCGCCCATCAGCATGATGAGCACTGGAGGAGCCGCGGGGAGACTGTGCTAGCGTCTCTCCTCCTATCTGAGGTCGCTGGTGCTATGGTTTCACACTAAATCACTGCACCTGCCCCCACTCTGCTTGCACATAGGGAAAAGTTGATGGCCTCTCTGACCCCTGAGTTGACATCCGGGGCTAAAACTCTATGAGGAATAGGTTGGTTCGAAGGTTAATACCCTGTTGTGGCTGAGTGGCCCTGCCAGCCCAGTGCGCCCTTGCCTCTCCGTGACAGGCTACAGCACAAGCTGGCCCTCCTGCAGCAACAGTGTGAAGAGAAACAGCAGCTCTACCAGTCCCTGCATTCGGAGCTACAGATCTATGAGGCACTTTATGGAAATTCTAAAAAGGACCTGAAAGGTAAGCATTCCGTCTCCCTCTTCTCTGTAAAACACAAGGGTAAGGTGTTGGTGTCATGAGAAAGCTCCAACTTGAGTGCCTTTAACAGTGGCCCTCAGGAATCAATCTTCATCCATTTAGATGGCCAGAAACAAATTAGTCAATCGGTACTTCGTTTTTATTTGTTTGTTTTTTGCCCAAAACATGGTCGTGTTTTTTTTTTTTTAATGCAAAGAATCATCCTACAGTTACTGTCATTTGAAAAGACTGTAAGTAGTATAAGTAACATATAACGATGGCACCTACAGCCAACATAACAGACATTCTTTTCTACCCTGACCTTATTCCCCAGTGAGAAGATAGAGATTCAAAAAGAGAAGCACAAGAAAAAATATTTTATAAAATACTATACAATAATATGATTGAAGTTTCAGGCATAGTTTTAAACACCAATTGCTTTGATTGAGGACATTTACCCTCTGCTGATGTATTCCCTGTGTGTCTTCTGCAACTGCAAAGGGATATTTGAAATATAATGTCAGCGAGTCACAGTGGTATAATTACTTTCTTTATCACTGGGACACAATACCTAATATCCACACATCAAAGGAGGAGAGATTTCTTTTGGCTCAGTTTGTAGAGGTTTCAGTCCATAGCATGGGAGAAGGGCATAGCAGAGGAATAATTGCTTATGTCATAGCATCGGGGAAGCAGAGGGGTCGAGGGAGGACCTAGGAAGAGAGATGTAACCTTCTGAGTCACACCCACAGGGTGCCACTTCTTTGGACCAGGCCCCACCTCCTAGTATCCCCATAATCCAGTCACCTTCCAAAGGTCCCACCTGTGATCACATGAGCTTTTAGGGGGACACCTAGACATAAACCATAACACACAGTTGTAACAGAGGGCTGATATCAATGTGATGAAGTTTAGTGATGATTAAAAGAAATAAAATTGTGGGGCTGGAGATTTAGCTCAGTGCTTCTGACACCTGCCTCACAAGCACAAGAACTCGAGTTCAATCCCCGGTTCCAAAATAAATAAATAAAATTGTAAGCTTGATTTAAACATATCAGTGATAGAAGCACAGGATAGGGATACTGGCTCTGTAACCATTCTTGAGTTTAAAGGTAGGGGAGTGTGGTAGGAACAGTTTTACACAATGATATTATAGGAAGGATTTCTGGAAAAGCCAGCTCAACCTGAGTCCACAACACTGTGTATATGAGGTCCATGGTGAGACTTCACATAATGTATAATTAGACTTGGGGCTCCATCTTGTAAAATGCACTTTGACGTACTAGGGAACTTAATGGAGAACAGGATTACAATGCTATGCCACCAGAAATCTTGAACTGATCAAAGAAACTCAAAACTTTTTAGGCTTTGAAAAGATTATAAGGAGATGAGAACTTACTTCAAGTACGCATGTGAAGAATGGTCAGGTACAGAACTCACATGTTTTGTGGGCCTCCACTGACCTAAACAAGGGGTGAATGGCAGAGGAATTTGGATTAGAATTTTCACTGGGAAGTATGAATTTTCTTAAAACAGGATCTACCTTCCTAGTTTGCTAGAACTCAAAGTCTAGGGGCCTCACCGGATGAAAGAATAGTTCATGTACAAAGCCTGGGTAAGTGTTGGGTCAGAGGGGAGACCAGACTGGCTCTGGGAGAAGCTTGGTGTCCGTGGAGTGAGAAGTCAGCTTAGTGTAAAGGGGAGTCAGCAGTCCACCGTAAGCCAGCCTATGTGTCAACAGAAGGTTTATGTGCAGTGAAATATCTTTTTCTCAACAAAAATAAGTACATAACAAAAACAAGTTTAAGAGGCTAAGTCTGATGGGACCTACCAGAGGTAGGAGATATTATGATCTGGGAAATGTATTAGATGAATGTGGTGATTTGGGAAACATTAAAAGATAGAAGTCTAACATAAGGTGCTACTGGGAAGATAAAAGAGACAATGGATACATGTAAAAGTGTTTTGAAAAGCAATAAGCAAAACAGTAAGAATTTGGATCTAGGGGAAGAGGGAGGTATTGTCATGGATCTTGAGATTAGTTTTTGAAGCCACCTCACCCTGAAGTAAATCAACTTTTATGTCATCCTTTCTGTTTGAGGGTCTTTTAGGATTCAATCCAAGCTATTACCACTAAAGCTCCATAATCTCTTATTCTTAATTCCAAAATCCATTAAGATGTCTAATTAAAAGTCATTGGGTGATAAAACCTAACTGAAGTGACCAGAGGATGTTGGTGGTCTTTATTTACTTAATGAGAATGAGAATATTCATATTCATGAGAAATAGTCTTGTAGTGTGTTAAGGGTCGTGGGCCAGATGCAAGGTGGAAATAGTATAGTGTGTATGGTATATGGACCTTCTTGCCTTGAGAAAAACCAACACCAGTTCTGCCTTTTGAAAATCAGTTGGCTTTAAAATTTTCAGATAAAGGATTGCGGCCTTCGAGAATATTTCTCGGGTCTCTTCACCCTAGTATGTAGAAATATGAGTGTGATGAAAACATGGGGAAATTGAAAAGTTCACTCAGTTCAGACCTCTGCTATAAGGTGTCTGGCTCCCATTCTTACCTTGTCCCAAAGATCTTGGTGCATTCTTCCCTCTTCTCTTTGATCTCTGAGTGTGGAGGTCTCTTGCTCTCTGAGCCCCTGCTCTTCTGCAGTTCAGTGCTGACCCCCTGCCTTGAAGAACCCTGCTGTCTAGGCTGCAGGACTAAGGTTAACATGGGGATGGAGTAAGCTTGTTATTGTCTGCTAATCAAGTGCCCTCCAGGTGCAAATGAGTCATTGGAGGCTCAGGGAAATTCCATCTTGGGGATGTGCCACCTCAGCGTGCCCAGGTGGTTATAATTCTATCATAAATGCGTTGGCCAGGAGCAGAGACTATAGTGGGGTCCATGGCAGAAGGGAATGTCACGGAGTAGTGTTCTCACCGGTGCTTGGAAATAACTCTTGGGTCACCCCTCTCTCTTCTTTCAGCTTTCCACCTGGATGCCTGTCTCCAAGTTCCTTTGAGCAGTGACTTGAACCGCCTGGTGGCAGAGATCCGAGCTCTGAGAGGGCAGCTGGAGCAGAGCATCCAGGTGAACAGTTGTCTGCGGCTGCAGCTGGAGCAGCAACTGGACGGTGGTGCTGGCAAAGGCAGCCTCAGCCCCGCTTCCATTAGCCAGAACTTCTCCATCAATGGCAACCCTGGAAACAAGCAGCTGCCCTTCCAAGGTAGGAAGGGAAAGGGCCTCACGGCGGCCAGTGGGGAGTCACCGAGACGCCTGCGGTGGAAGGGGCCATCTTGTCTCACCTTGGCTCCTTAGGGTCAGGTTCAAGTTGAAGAATGAACTACAAGACAATGGCCTCAAGGTGCATTTTCCTACAAGTGATTCAAACTTATCCTTCTTTATGGTAGAGTAGTACTGTGTTGGGTATAAATACCACATTTCCTTTATCCATTCATCTGTTGACGGACGTACATGCCAAGATTTGGCCATTATGAGTTTGATGCTATAAACATTTATATACATGTATGAGTATTTTGCCATAAACCATTATACTGACACCACTTAAAATTGAGTGTATAAATCATACCTAATACTTTTTAAAAGTAGAAGCTGTTTTCTCTTGGAATACCTTTTTTTTTTTTTTTTACCCGGGATCGAACTCAGGACCTTGCACTCCGCTGAGCTACATCCCCAGCTAGAATACCTTTCGATTAAAGGCATTTAGTTTAGAAAACAAAAGTCACTGGACTGAGTGCTCCCTTGGTTCTTGTTTTTTTATTGCGATGTAGGCGAGGGGTGAGTCACGCCACCTAGACCTTGGGTGGTAAAGAGCAGGCTGTGTGCCGTGTGTCTGTCTTTACTCCTCAGATTCAGTTGCTTCCCCTCCGGTCCGGGATGTGGGCATGACTTCTCCAGCTCTGGTCCTCCCCAGTTCTTCTGCTCCCTGCTCAGACACCACCGCAGCCAGCAGGCCAAACGGTAAATATGGGGAAGGGGTGAAGAGTCAGTGATGTAAACTTATGAAGGCACACAAGTCTTGGTCCTCTGTAAATACGTCACCTGGATTTAGGGATCTTTCTCTGTAGGCCACAAGGCTTACAGCTCCACTCCTTGCACTTTCTGGGGCTGCCTTTCTTGTCAGGCTTCTTCCAGCTGTTTTCCCACAGCTCTGCTGGTGCACCAGCCCTTGGCAGTGTATCATTCTTGAGTGTGCTCTCTGTATCCACTGATTTCCTCGTCTGTGTCTCTTCTACCCTCAGACCTACTCTCATTTATTAGTAACATTTGCCCTCAACACTTCACTTTCCAGTAAGGCTAAAATTTGTCTCCTGGAAAGTTTATCATTATAAGCTGATAAAGAAAGATTATAAACGTATAGACCCCAGAATATCTCTGTGGACTTTACCCACCCTGAATTTTTGAATGCTGTTATTCTTGGTCCTAGCTAGAATCACTCTCTCTTTTATTGTTTGAACTGAGGATATCATCATGGGTAATAGCAGGTTTTGTTTTGTTGTTTTCTCTTTCAGAGCTGGGTCTGAATGTTTCTCCGGTCATGAAGGACCCTCCTAAGTTAGAGGGTGATGCCACCGACGGCTCCTTTGCCAACAAGCACGGTCGCCACGTCATCGGCCACATTGATGATTACAGTGCTCTAAGACAGCAGATTGGGGAGGGCAAACTCCTGGTCCAAAGGATGCTGTCTCTCCTGAGGCCAGCATTCCACATCCCTGGCCTGGAAGCACAGGGCACAGAGGTAAGGAGACCCTCAGCTCTTAGCTGCACGCTTTCCTCTTGGAGGCCCTCTCTTCCTCCCATTGCAACTCCTCCCATTATTTCTCTTCATGCTGTACATCTCCCAACAGCTACAAAAGCATCTTCCTTTTATTCCAGCCAGTTTCTTCTTCTCTCTCTCCTATTTCACTGTAAGTTCTACTCCGTTGCAGATAAGGCTAACTGGATACTTCTCCTCCTCCGAGCCACAGGAAGACCCGTGTGGCAGTGTTATCATCCCCAGTACAGCATCTGTTAAGTGTTGACATACACATGGAGCCACACTGAGCACTCTCTGGTAGCTTATTATCTGTTACAGTCGTGCTGGCACATGGCCATGTGCAGGCAGATTACAGTTAACCAGAGGGACAGTTACCGAGGGAGTCGCATCGGTATGGTCTTCATGTGTGGAAAGGGCAAGAAACCTGGCAGCCATGAGACTTCTGAGTTCAGACTGAGTGGAGGCAGGGGAGGAAGTCAGCGGAGCTTCTTGGAGGCTTCAGTGTTGTGAAGGACAGGGCACCAGTGGCTGTGCTGTCTGTGCCACTGAGAGCTGTGGATGCATCAGGTCAGCCCTGGTCCGGGGAGCCCACACTTAGTGCCAAGACATGGGTCAAGTCCATAAGAACAAGAAGGGCAAGACGTATTCCTCTGCACTGAGAGCGCACCGATGTAAAAGTGGTCTCTTATTGCAGACAAAAAGAGTAACGGGTTCAAAGAGGACACAACACAGGGATTCACAGGGATGTGAAAGCTTATAGGGTACCCAGGGGGAGGGATTCTGGGTCATTGGAGCTGCACTTCAGTCATGGGACTAGAGATAAGCCAGGGTTCCACAAGTTCAGGTAGGCCCACGCTCTGCCCCACTCACAAAAGAACCTGAGCCCTGAGCACAGGGTGAAATGTGCTATCCCCGTTTCAGTGATGTCCATGGCTCCCTACTCCTTTCCCCAGGTGCTGGGAAGCAAAGGAGTCCATGAGCTTCGGGGCAGCACCAGTGCCTTGCACCGCACCCTGGAGGAGGTGGCGTCCCTCCTCACCATGTTCTGGCGAGCGGCCTTACCAAGCTCTCCTGGCCCGGTGCTGCCAGCCAAAGTGGTAAGAAGCCGGTGTCTTCTGCCGGTTCAAACCCAGCAACTCTGGCCCCAGGATGTTTCTTTTCTCTCAGCCCCATAGCTTTCCCGAGGGTCAGGAACTGCATAGTGAGTTGGGATCAACAGAGCCTTAGAAGAGCATACCCGGACCCAAGATGAAGTTTTGACTACATCCCTTCTCCTCCCACCCCTGGGATAAGAAATCATAGAGGACAAGGAAAGGAAATGGAGAAGCAGAGATATGTTTACTCTGGCACCCCCTAAATACCCGCTTCCTGTAACCTGAAATCTGGCTGAACTGAAAGTCAGGAACCCATCAAAACTTCAACACCCCTTCTCCACCCCTCAGGTCTGCACAGTCAAAAGGTCACAGAATGTCACTGTGAGCCTGTGAGCCTCTCTCAGCCGTCCCCAGAATCTCAACTTATCTTTTAAGTTTCCATCTCTGCACCAGGCCTGGGGAAAGCCAGCCACCCTTTTGGATCTGCTGGGATTTCAGACTGGCAGACCCTTTGGTCACAGGTCTTCCCGGGATTTTGTTTTGAGATTACCTACTACTACGGGCATCCTGTGAGAGCCAACAGTGCTAATGCCAGGGAAGTGCTTTGCTTTGCCACCTTCATGTTGGCATGATTATTTATAAACTTGAACTTGAGCATCAGGCCAGCCCTGTCTCCCCAGATGGAATCTTCCCAAGCTTCCAAGTCTCACCTGTGATGAGCGAGTGCCAGAACTGACGGAAAGACTGAGCTCAAGGTCTTATTTGCAGTTGAGAGTTCAGTATTTGTCTGAAGTCCAGGTTTCTTTGGCAGTAGGAGTGTAGACCTGTGCTGGTCTGCTTGTTTTAAGTTTCTCAGTGTTCCTACCAGCGGCCTTGTCCTCAGTGGTCCTTAGCTGGGGTTTTGAGAGGTGTGTTAATGGAGGGAACCCACTCTGGAGTATGTTGAGAAGATGGTGGAGTTGTTTTGGATTGTAACGCCACAAAGCATGAACACCTGTCCCTTTTCTCCAGGGAGATGCAACGGAAAGAGAACTCCTGGAACTGCGGGCCCAAGTGTCCAAACAAGAGCGGCTCCTTCAGAGCACAGCTGAGCGTCTGAAGACTGCCAACCAGCACAAGGCGAGCATGGAGCAGTTCATCGTCAGCCAGTGTAGGTGCCTCTGAGCTCAGGACAGAGGAAAGAGGCTGGTGTTCCAGGTGCTCCACATGTGCTGCACGGGACCAGTAACCAGGGAGGCCCAATATTAGGAGCAGAGTGAGGATGCAGTGGCCCTTCTCTTCTGGGCCAGGGGTCATTGTGGGTGCAGAGAGTGGGGAGATGGAGTCAACAAGAGACCTTGAGCTGAGTGGTCAGGAGGAAATGCTTCAAGTAGGACCTAACTGGTAATATCTGCCTTGTGGGGCTGCTTTCTTATTTCAGTGACCCGGACCCATGATGTTTTGAAAAAGGCAAGGACTAATTTGGAGGTAAGGAAACAAGTGTTCCAGTCAAAGCCTCAGAACCTGCCCCTACCCTTTCAGTGTCTGTCATCAGATTTGTAGGTGCCCCTGTCCTGCTGTGACCTTCCAGGAGATTTTTGGTCCACTGGTAGGATCCCAAGTCCTCAGTGAGCCTCCCTGAGTTGCCATCCCTTGCTTTCCTGCCTACTCGGCCCTGCCCCCTGAGCTGTTTACACCCGCCTCAACATCATCTGGCCAATTTACCCTTTCCTCTCCTCCACACCAGTGAGGAGCCTGGAGCAATGCAACGCACTTGGTTCCTGAGGGCAGAGAGATCCTGAGTCTGTCTGTGAAGGAGTTGTCTGTAAAGGGTCCACTTCTGCATTATGGTGTTTTCTAAATATAAACAAGGTGCAACCGTATAAATTGATTTCCCTATACACTATTGGGCCAAAAACAGCTGCTTGGCTTTGACATGTTTTTTCATAAAGAACATCAAGAAAGATCCACTGGGTCTGATTGACCAAAAAGACAATGCCAGATGTTCAAATGCTAAGTGCTAATTATTCTCTAGGAAGTACTTTTGAAAAAGGAACTTGACATATGTGCAATGTTTTAAAAATCAGAAACTAGCCAGGCGTGGTGGTACATGCCTGTAATCCTAGCACTCAGGAGGCTGAGGCAGGAGGATCACTGTGAGTTTAAGACCAGCCTGGGCTGCATAGTGAGTTGCAGGTCAGTCTCAACTACATAGTGAGACCCTGTCTCAAACCCCCCCCAAAATCAGAAACTAAACCTTAAAACTTATACTTTAAATTTTCTTAGTATATTCAGCATATTCCTAAGAATTGTTCCTAAGTTGCAACCTGAGAAAGTCTTGACCTCCACAGTGAATGTGGGTTGGGCGGTGATTTAAATCACTTGTTTTCTCTAATTTCCTTTGGTCCTTCTCTGATGATGTCTTTCTCTTCTGAGCCTCTTTAGCACAACACTTATGAGACTGCCTCTGTACAGCCTTATTCCTGTCCCAGAAAAGGTAACCCAGCAGCCTCCCGGCCAGCTGGCTCCCCCTGGTGTGAAACTTTCCTCACCCCAGGCTCGCCACTAACTGCTCTGCACTGTAGCTGGCCCCTCGGCCTCTGTGAGTCTCCTCATCAGTCAGAGGTGGAGCTAGACTTAGATGACCTTTGCAGACTGGATCCTTCCTTATAACTGGGAAGTAAAGGGGACTTAGCCACAAAACATCCTCTCTATCCTACAGCAGGCTGTTAAACATGTGCATGTTTCATGCTCAGCGTTTGGGCTCCCAGGACATGGCAAAGGCTAATTTGGTTTCCGCTTCAGATACATGACTTGGAGCATGAACTGGGCCCTGAAAAGGGAGTGGTAGGATGTGGCCACGCAGGGTGCAGCAGGAATTTCAGTGCTTGGGGCACTTTTCCTCTAACCTTTGGTCCCTGTACTTCCTGCAGACCCGGAGCATCCCCTCAGTGCCACCGCCTAAGTGGCTCTCACCAGCCTCCTGGCCTCTGGCACCACTTTTCTCGCTCAGCCTCTGGGTGCCGTCAGCAGGGTGTGACTGTCCTCTCTGAAGAGGTCTGCTTTATTTTTGCCACAGGTGAAATCCCTAAGGGCTCTGCTGTGCACTCCAGCCTTGTGACCCTTGCCTTCCCGGAGCCACACAAGAAGCGAAGCCACCAGAGGTCCTTAAAACAGCAGGAAGAACGGCTCTGCCCCACTTTGGTGCAGCTGCCTATCTGTTGATGCGCACCCGGGCCCAGTCCCTCCAAAGTTGCTGGAGGTCCAGAAGAGGGGACAGAGATGTGTCCTTTTAGGACAATAGAAAGGCAGAATGATTTCCTGGCAGCAACGGATACTAGGAGCAGAGGTCCACTGGTCCCAGCACTTAGCAAAACACCTAGATTGCATAGCAGACCCCATGACACCACTTCTAAACAGCCTCCGGGGCAAGGCATCAGCCAAGGCACCTTTCCCGCCTCAGGAGCCGTCCTCAGTCAACTCAGGGGAAGCAGGACCTTGCTTCCTGTGTGTGGGGCTGTGGCCTCAGGTAGTTCCAGAAGCACACTGCTGAGTGGCAGCGCCCTGCTGGACAGTGTCACCGGGGCTCAGCAAGCACCACTCCCAGATCCCAGGCCAGCTCCGCCGGGCCAAAGATTAGGTCTACACCACCGCAGCTGAACACTTTGAGTCCAAATGATGAATGTGAGACTTCCTGGCTTCCCTCTCTTGCTTATCCTACAACCTCTGTTGCTTTGCTTCTATAATCTCTGAATTGTACGGACCCCTTTTAAACAGGCTGTCCCTATTTTGTCCATTTTGTCATCCTTACTTCCCTTGGGGGAATTAGGAACTGTTGGCGACACCAAGACAATCCATCATCTTGCCTAGAGTAGACCTGTGCTCATTTATAAGTGGCATGGGTGTGGCCCTGAGCTGTCTTCACTCGTCTGTCTTCACAGTCCCCAGAGGAGTGGGTATGTGTGTATAAATGTAAGATAGAGATTTATATATGTTGCTGAACCCATGTGGCACAGGCCGACATAACTTGCAGAGTGGGTGGGTGAGAAGAAATGGAAGTCTTTTGGGTGCCTATTAAAATAGAATGTGTATAAGGAATAGTTTTTCATTGCCTTTTTTCATTTCATTTCTTCCCTAGAATAAATATATAAGAAAAGAGAAGAAGGCGAGGGATTTAGTTCAGTGGTTCCAGCACCTGCCTTGCAAGTGCAAGGGCCTGAGTTCAATCCCTGGGCCAAAAAAAGAAAAAGAAAAGTCATTAAGAAACTCAAAGACTAATCCTGAAGTCTAGATTGAAAAGATTACATCCTTCCTTGTCATTGTGTAGAACTGGCTGGCTGGTCTAAAAATATGAAAGGCTGTCTCAAACTCAGGGTAGCTGAATGCCAGCTGTGGACATGGTAGGAGCTGCCTGCTGGGCTGCAGTCCTCAGGCCCTAGCGTGAGTGGAGACCCAGACTCTCCATCTTTCATGGAGCACTCAGTGACTCTGGTGTAGGGCAGCCAGAGACCACAGATTTTAAAAATGTTATCCTGTATCAAGTGAGTTAAAACAATAAACTTAAGAGCCTTCTAGTGAAAAGCACATAAGGCTTCCATAAATGTTTAAATAAAAAATCTTAAACTACTGCTTGAGAAAAATTCTTAGGTCCTTTACCCTTCCTGAACTAAAATCTAGCTGTCACTCCACAGTTAACTGTTACTAAGAGTTAAAAACCAACGATGGCAACTAGAACAAAAAACCTAATCACTCTCACTACATCTGCCACTGCCACCAGCTGCAGTAACAAAAGAGCAGGCAAAACACTCCTGCTTTAGGTAGAGTGTGCCTTTTCCAACAGTGCGATAGTGAACTTGCCCTCTGCTTTTACACTCAGGTATTTAGGTATTTGCATGAGTGCCTTTGGCTTTAAAATCCAGAGAGAATTAGCTGGCAAAATTAGCCTAAGAGTTGAAGAGTGGGCACAAGGACTATCATTTAGAGAGGAAATGGCAAAACAACGGCTGAAAGAGTTGGTGTCAAAATGTCACACGAGAGTAACTTGATCACCAAATCTGGTTGTGAAGATGAAAAATGCTACAAGCTAAAACTGTGGGCAGTCTCTAAGTTGGAAAAGACAAGAACACAGTACCCCTTGAACCTCCAAGAAGGACATTGCTTTTAGTAGAGTGAGGCTTACAATGGACTTCTGATCTTCAGAACCACACGAGAATTTGCATTATTTTAAAATATGTTTGTGGCAACTCGTTACAACAGCAATAGGAAACTCATACTATGGTCATTGGTGGATTAACATTATTTAACACCAGTGCTGGTGACTATTTCTTGTTTTTGTTTTTTGGTACCGGGGATTGAACTCGGGCCCTGGCGCTTGCAATGTAGGCAGCAGAAACACTAAGCTAAATCCCCGGTCCATGGTGACTATTTCTTCCCATGGCTTTAGAATGATTCTTTTTTCCTGGAATGTGAGCTTAAACTTTTTCCAATTCTCACTGTTAATAGCTGAAATGATGCAGGCTGTTTTAGCAGTCATCCCTACACAAGGAGTCTAGTTGTCACCCATGTTCTGGGCATTACAAATATCTCATACTTTCCAAATCAGGGTTGTGCAAGGCACACATTTGCAACATTGCTAGGAGAGCTTAGGCACTGGATTTATATTCTCTGTAAGGTTGGTTTGCAAGAGTTTTGGGCACCTGGGGGTCATTCTTCATGTCTATGCCCCTTAGCATATGAACCTTCTTCCCACATATGAATAATTTCTGAGGATCACACACTTGCTATCTTAGCCTCCTTGAGCAAAGATGTGGTTATATTCCCCAAACCTAGTTAACTGTACCGCTACTCCAGCTTTTGATGTGAGAGATTAAAAAAGCAGGCACTGAAGAAATTACTGTAGCCCCTGCAAACTCTCTCTATATTCTGAGTTCCTTAATCTCTTCTTCATTACAACATTAAAATAAATGAAGGCCTGGCTTTCCATTTATTTATTTATTTGATATCTGGAAACGAACTTGGGACCTTGAGCTAGTAAGGCAGGCGGTGGAACCACTGAGGTAAACCCCTGGCCCAGGCCTGCCTTTTTAAAGGCTTCCTTTGAGGACATTATTTTATGAGGATTAATTAGGTGTCCCGAGAAACCCAGAAGGGCTGAAAGGGCCGTCCAAACTGACGCGCACCCTGGGGCCGGCTTACATCACAATGTATTGCACACTTTTTAAGATCACAGCGTTCAGGGGATTCACACGAACTCCAGTACCTGAGCATAGCGAGTCCACCGCAGGGCGAGCAGCGCCGCCCACGATCAATGGGAGGGTGGCGTGAGGTCCGCCTCCGGCAGGGAGAACCAAGCTGGGTCCGGGCCGGCCCTGCGAGTCCCGCAGGTTGCGGTTGCGCACCTCGGCAGTCAGGGTCGGGCTGTGCGCTGCAGACCGGTGAGCGCCAGCGTCCACTCCCTCCCGGCCGGAGGAGAGCGCGCTGAGTCCTTCGCCCAGAGCGATGGTCCCCAGAGGACCCTCAGACTTGGAGAGCTTGACTTGTTTTAATCCCCGTCTGGGTGTCTCTGCATCAGCCGCGTCACATGCTGAGCAGTAAGTATCCTGATCCGTGTGACAACATCTGCGGTTAGCTGCTTTGGGAGTTGGCAGTCAGTGGGCAGCAAAGGACGGTCCTAGGTCTCGGGCAGGACTGTGCTAGTGACGTTTGAAATTGCAGGTACCTAAGCCAAGGTGCTGCTAACACTATGCTTATGGTAAGGCACTCAGGAAGGCAAGGAAGCCAGATTTGGCGATAAAAATATCAGATGATTGATTAAAGCTGAATTTTGCATAAATGATAATTTTATTATAAATATGTTCCTTACAATATTTGGGATATACTTATGGAATTGTTTGTTGTTGATCCAAAATTCAAATGTACGTGAGCATCTCATTCACACCAAAAGATGAACAACTGGCAATGAGAAAATGAAAAAGAGAGAAAACAGGTAAAAAGTGATTTAAATGCCACATGAGAGAAAATATAATCTATAATTATGACATGTTATCAATGATATTCCTACACTTGATCTTAGCCAAAAGGCTGAGAAGTGATCATCAATGGTATTCCTTATGCCTGCCTAACTTATTAAACCAGAAAAGTTCAGATGGCTAAGTCATCACAGTTAGGTAAAAAATGCCTGAGCAGGTCAAAAAATCTCCTGTCTGAAAACATGTGGGGTCTCAAAGGCCTGACACTACATACACCACTGACTTGTTCTCAGTCTCAAGATCAAGATCTCTATCAGATGTGAACTGATCAACAGAAAATCGCCTGAAAATTCCTTTACTATTTTTTTTTTTTGCATGAGAAATCCTTGAGGATTTAAAACAAAATATATAAACAAGGAATGTGAGAGATACTAAGAAACAGTGAGGTTAACCAGTCTAAAAACCCAAAAGAAGTAGGTTCAAATCATGACCCTACCTCTTGCCTGCCAGGTAAACCCTACAAATTATCTAATCACTCTGAGTTTGAACTAACTCACTGGCTGTGTCCCCTCTCCCTCCCTCCCCACCCCCCCTCACAAGTGATCCTCCTGCTTCCTCCAGAGTGCTGGGATTAAGGGTGTGCACCAACACACCCAGCCAATTGCTTTTTCAATGAAGATAATAAAGACTGTGTCATAGCGATTTGGTGAGGATTAAATAAGACAATGTGCAAAATCCACTTAAAGTCTGGGGACCAGAGGGCAGGAGAGTTAAAGGGAGTAAAATGTAAAGGCAGGGGAGTAATAAGATTGAAAGCGATCAAGATATATTATAGTCACATATCCATGTACCAATTTCTCAAATGAACATCCCTGTTCTGTATCGTAAGCATACACTAAGAAAGTGAAACTTGAAAACACTGACAGAACACTGCCTTGCATATAGCTGTTTAAACCCATCATTCTCTTTCCCTTCTGGCCAACTACTGCAGCCTCTAGGCTCCAACTCCACCTGAAAAAATATCAAGGAAAGAATACATCAGGTAGGTGCCATCCCTTCTAAATCCTAGTAAGAAAAAATAGTTGATTCTTGGATTAATTTGGCCAACGTCCTTAGCGTTTTTCTACTCTCATTCTAAAGAAAAGGGACTTGAAACCTAGAAAAATCATTTGCAAGGCAAAAGCAGTAAAGAAATCCAGCATTCTACTTTTCCTTCAGCATTTCACCCGTAGAGATCAGCACAGAAAACAAGGCCCAGCTTTTTCTGACTTAGTAGAACGTGGTAATTCAGAGACTGAGAAAATGTGCTGCATTAGTTGGCCCTTGAAAAAAATACATATGGAGGCAGTAAGAATAATGATCAAGGGCATGACAGATGCTGAAGGCAAGAAAGCTTGGCAAATCACCTCACTTCTCTGAAAGCCTGAATCTCAGCCAGGGTGAGTGGCTCGTGCCTGTCATTCGCTGCACTGTGGGAGGATATGGCAGAAAGGTCAGGATTTTGGGCCAAGCCTGGGCAGTTTAGCAACTAAGCAGAATCCTGTCTCAAGATAAAACATAAAAATGTTATCTCAGGGGGTAGGGGTTGGGGTGGTGGAAGCCCTGGGTTCAGTCCTCAGTACCACAACTAAATGATTAATGCCTTAATCTCATCTATTAAGGGATGGACTATAATGGTAGCAACCTCATATGAAGGATACTACATGAAATAATGCACAGAAAGTATATTGCAGAGTGCTTGTGCAGCAAGTCTTCAAACAATGTTAACAGACTGTTAAATTCTAAGAAAAGCTTACGTGGGTCCACAACGAACTGCGTTTGCTTAACACCAAATCTTGTGAGCTTTTCATCAAGATATCTAAGGAAATTTATGTACTCAAGAAAGGTGGGGCTCGTTAGGAGAGCACCTTTCTCCACCTGGCCCCAAGGGAGCAGTCACACACCTAACTCAAGGAAACCTTACAATGATTAAACTGAAATTAAAAACAGTAAGTTTTCATCACAATGTTAGGACCTAGGGTGACAAGACTGGTCTAATGAGTTTATACGGTGTATTTCAACAGATTTTCACTGATTCTGCAGCTTTTCTTCAGGAAATGTTGTAGTCAGGGTTTGCAAGGGAATGGATTTAATACAGGACACATAACTTATGGGATTATGTTATACTATTCACCCAAAATGTCAAATGCAGAGGAGCGCAAGAGATCTGTCCACACGCTGGAGACCCAAAGAATCCAGCTGAGGGTGAGGGCCTGGATCCCACAGATGTCTCATGCAAATCCATACCAGAGATCTGCGAAGGCCAGTAGTGGAAGCTACAGTCTGTGCCGGTGGGGTGAAGGATCTGTGCCACCAGGCTGAGGGATCTGCACAGGAGCCAGGAACTAACACTCAAGGTGACCAGAGCTCCCCATATGAGAACAGCAGCCAGGCAAAGACCTGAGCTCCTCCAGGAAAATCAACAGCACACAACCTTCCTCTCTGGTTCTCCTTCTATGTTGCTGGCAACAATCTCAGGGGAGTCTTCCACGCCCAGACCACTCAGCTCTGCTGGGCTCCATGTTGACCATCAGTCAATCCACCATGGGAAATACCACTGGACCAGAGTCTTAACAGGGATCCATTAAACACAGGACTCCACTGAAATGATGTGCACGCTGGTATTACTTCAGAGTTTCACAGAAGATGAAATAATAGTAAACAAAAGTAACCAATTACCTGTCTCCTTCTAAATCTTCCGTTTTAACTCTATAATTTTATCTACTTAACACCAAATTGACAATGAGGTGCTCTTTTAAAAATCAATGTTTTCAACAATTTTCCCCAATAAAAGCCATGGTACAGAAAAAACATTACTTTTTGAAAAGTGAAGAGAAATGGCTTTGGCTAATCAATTTTTAAAAACCTTAATCCAAAATGCATCAATCTTTTCACCCCCGTATGCTGATTTTTACCCTTAACTGTCAATAGTTTGCTTTTTTTAAGATTCTGTGGCACCTCCTAAGCTTCCCACACAGTGAGTCCTTTGGGAGAGTCAGCTGCGCGCACCTGAAACCCCTCAAGTTTCAACTCTTTCCTACACTTCCAGACACCTGCGAGTTTTGCTGGTTTCACTTTGTCCCAGCAGCTACCCTCTGGCTGCACAAAGGTCAATCCTCAATCCTTGCCCAGAATCAGCAACTAGCCTCGGGGGTAAAGTGGCTAGTAATTGGCTCACCAGGGCAAATCCGCTTTCCCCTACACTTCAGCTCAAGGTTACACCAATTCTCAGCTGCACCTAAAAATAAGACACCACCCCTCAAAATCCTCTAAGCCCTAGAGGCCTCTGACTAGCCCTTGATCTGGTAGACCTCAGGATTGTCAAATTCCTTTATTTCGCCCTCAGACACTCTTAATTCTAAATCACTCTCCAGACAATCTATAGAATGTAGATCTGCCAATTCAGGTTGGCACAAAGCATTTTGCATTGAAAATATTCTTAACCTGCCCCTTGATACCCTTTTTATTTTCCGAGATCCTCTTAAGGTCAGTCCATTACCCAACTCCAACCTCTAACTTGTAAACCAGAACTACTACAATTGATAGCCAAAAATCTCTGGAAAAAAGTTGGGTTCTAGATCATGGTTTTGAGTATCAGTTCATCTGGAACTTTCCCCTTAAGAAACATACACAGGCCTGTAGTGATCTCAACTCTCAGCTGCTCAACAGTACTTACCTGGTCTCATAGGCTGTTACTATTAACACTTTGCAAAAGGTACCGAAGGGAAATTAGCTTGAGAGTAGTTAAATAATCTGAAAATCTGCTTTGGGTTTTAAGTGGGGTTTTTTTTTTTTTTTTTTTTGGTACCAGGGATGGAGCTGGGGTCCATCCTTGCACTTGCGAGGCAGGTGGTGGAACCACTGAGCTACATCCCTGTCCCGTTTAGGTTTTAAAACATCATACAGCGTATAGATCTAGGCCTTCTGACCACTGAAGAAGGGAAGTCTCAAGAGTTTCCTTCAGAGCAAAACTAAGTGCCCCAAGGATGCCAATTGGTGGGAGGGCATGACCAGTTCTCTTCAGCCATTGTGTAAGTGCCTGGAGCTGCTGAATGCATTTGGAAAAGGGAGGTGGCATTCTGAACATGTGCTGGATGTAAGCAACCAGAGGTGAGAGGTAAAGGCAAGGCAGACTCTTGTTTCTGAACCACCTGTTACTGGCAACTGTCACTGCGCGGGAGAAGAGGGAACCAACTGGAAGGGATCCAAAAGAGATCTCAAACCAAGCACACCAGAAATGCTTTAGAAAGCACATTTCAGGGCAGGTTTGGCCCCACTGGATTCCTGGGGTTACTTTATTGTTTCAGTAACCAGAGCACACGATGTTTAGAGATCATCCTTACAGAGGCAGAACCCACATCATGCATCTCTGGGTCTACAAGTGATCTGGGCCTGCTGCCGAGGCTTGAGGGTAAAGTGTCTGGTCTAGTCCTATTACCTTAGGCTTTCTTTATCCATCACTCTGTTAGATTCCCTTCTTCATCTCACTCTCTCCTCTAAGAAAGTTCAACTCAGTTGAACCTTTAGAGCAGCAAACACAGGGAAGCTTGGTTGCTTCAGAAAAAGAAATCCAGAGGCCAACTATGTAAAAACCCTGTGAAATAAAGAGATGGAAAACAAAGATCATTTATACTCATTGTCCTGAACAAGACCATCTGAGAGGAGCGAGGCACTGTCAGAATGAAGTACATAATCCGTTTTCACATATATTTATGTATATAATCTGAAAAGGGAAAACAAGTAGGTAAAGTCCAAAACAGTGTTCCTAATATATTTTATGTCCCTAGATATATTTTAGAATCATCTGGGGAACTTAGAAGAATACAGATGTGTGGCCCTCACACCAGATATTCCTGTTTAACTGGGATGGAAGCAGCAGACTGGGCATCGATGTGTTTGTGGAATCTCCACAGGTGATACAAATGTGCAGCAGGAGTGACAATCATTGGTCTAAGGCCTCAGCTAATGTTCAGTCAGTTCAGAGAAAGTCTTGCAAATCAAATCACTGGGTTTGAATTCCCAAAGTTAATGCTGGGGGGGAAAAAAAAAGAAAAAGAAAAGTGGCAGAGGGAAGGGCATCACCTGTACCCCCGGCGGCTATGACTTCTCCCTTTACTCAGATATACTTGTCTGACAATTTTCCATTCTTTAGGTTCTGAGACGACCAAGGCAGACAAATCTTGATAACACATCAGAAAATAGCCCAAATGTTATTGCTGTATAATACTTTTATTAAGCAGTTTTATGAGGAAAAATACCATGGTTACTTATGTGTTACATCATATAATTTTCAGGCATGTCAAGAGTCCAGTGACAAATTACATTTGGAGAAAAGTTTTCAGATCTCGATATGCACACCACTCCTTTGTGAAATACTGAAAAGCGGCTCTGTACCTCAGCATCATAGGCTACAAGAAGCACCACTTGGAGGACTCTGCATTCCCTTCATGCTGTAGTTTTATTCCCCCTTACAGCAGACGCAGGTGCTTCCATTCAATAGCAACTGACATCCTCCAACTTACCAAAATCCAAGTAAGCCCCATACAGGGGACTCTGTGCAGCACGACCGATCAAGCAATGAAGCTTTCAGTCTTAAAACTGCAAGCAGGCTAAGCTAGTGCTCTGTAGAGGGGAATAAACAAGATGATGGATTCCTAACGTGCTATTTCACGCAGGTATCCCCTCAGCATTCAACATGACTGTTACAAAATCCAGTTTAGTATTCATACCACTCTTACTGCAGAAGTACTGTGCTATGTACAATTTATTTAACGCCAACTAATGCTGGAGCCAATACAAAACCCCAATTAGAATCCTAGAGGGATTCCACTGCTAGTAACTGAATTGTACATGTAACAGACATTTTTTTTCCCCTTCCCTTCCTTCTAGATCTAGCTTTTCACTCCAGAAGTTTAGGTTCACAGCAGAAACCAGTCCTTCAGTCTCCAGTTGTGTTTCACCCTTAAGGAGAGAGAAATGCCTAAACTCATGCAACTTTGAGAGACCCTTTCCCCTACCAGGTCGTCCATTCCATGGGTAACTGGAATCAGCAGCAAGAACTTGGCCTTAGTGATGAGTCAAAATAACTTATGGACATGCTCTTAAGACTATGCTCCAAATCACTAGGATGTGAGGATGCAGAAATCTGAGAATAGAATGGATTTTACACACACAAACATAAAACTATTGCATATCATTTGTAGTTGAGGTCAAAATTTTTAAAGCCCTCTTTCCCCAATTAAAAGGGAATTCTATCATCCATGTTGCTCCTTTATTTATACCCCAGGTTAATACAAACCCAATCTGGAGGTACCACTTCTTTCCAAACTTTAGCAGCACACATGGAGTACTGACAATCTTCGAATGTTTTATTTCAGATACACTAGATCAAGAGACTCAAAGTAGCTGGAAGAAAGTAAGAGGGCCTGGCTTGCTGGATCCTCTGAGGCTTGGCTTGAATTCTTTTACCCCATTTCTCTATCACATATGCTTGAAAAGCCAATTCTATTGACTGAGGAGGGTGTGCCCTCCAGGGGTACTGTGTGCAGTGATTAGGTCCCACTCAAGTCGAAACCTAAAGCTAGCTAGTGACCACGGTGTGAGGTTCTCTGTGCTGCTGAGATACCTAACCTATGAAGTAGTGCTTGACTTAAACTTTACTGAACTCTGACGAAGTTAGAGGAAAATGCACAGGGAAGCACAGAGAACAGGAATGACAGGAGGCAAAAGAAAGGTGTGCTAGCTACTGCTAAGTTCTGTTCAATGAGGTCCAAGAATACCATTAGGTTATTTCTGACTTTAATTTTTTTAAAAAAGGGTATTTTCAAGCTTTGAGTCACTTAAGCCTTTAGTTTCCCACTATCCATCCTCAGCTCGGGTACTTTTCTTTCTTTTCCCTGCAATCCGAATACTGCAGCTGTTTACGGCAATAAACAGCCTCACTTAAGGGCCATTTTCTTTTTTTTAATTAGCGTTGGCTCTGCAAAATTCTCATAGTAAAAAAGAAAAAAAAGTAATAAAAATAACCCTTTATTAACAGTAAAAACTATAGGGCTCATCTGATATTGAAGTTACTCATTTTCAAAATCTGACAAATACTCCTTTGTAGAAAATAAGCTACCCTTGTAACTGATCAATTTATAAAAGGATGAGTGAGTTGTACTTTGGGCTACCTTCCTCCCTCCGCACCTCCAGAAGTGTCCCCGTGACACACCAAGAGAGGCTTCTCAGGGCCACATGTTAGCAGGACAGGAGGACAATGAATGTGTCATCACCCTGTTCCTCTTACCAAGCCCCTTCCTCACCAGCTGGCTGAGAGGACCCGAGAGCTTCGGAAACTGACCCTGCACACTTCCACATTACACAGATCTCAAATCACCAGCACCAACACTTACTGCCAGCAGAGCCAGATCCATTTCACAGAAGTCTCTGGCCTGAGAGAAATTGGAGACCTTTTTTCCTGCCCCACTGTAGTGGTATACACCTGTGTGGAGTAAAAATTTTAGTACACATACAATTATGTTTCAATACTGTTGACAAGAAAAAACAAGTACAACAAAATCTTCCATGTAACCACTATGATTCTGAATCTTCCTAGGTGGCCCACTTATTCCATAGGTATGGGATAAAAACAAAATTCTAGTAAAACAGAAAACTAGATCCTGAGAGTTGGTTCTAAGTTGTACTTTTAAAAATGGCACACCATTCAAAAAGTGGTTTGGACCACAAAAAATTCTCCAGAAGTTAACTCTGGATGGCTAACTCACTTTTTACTTGCAACAATGAACAATTACCAAAGCACTCAATGCATTCCCTACAAACAGCTGCCACCTTACTGCTTTATAGCTGGGATCAAAGAAGTCAACACACCCAAAGATAACTGTGCTGCCAGCTCTGCTCGAGAAAGACAGTAAGGACAAAGCTGAACTATCCTGTAGGTGCCCTTTCACCGAACTCAAGGGCTATCTCAACCATCAAACAGTTTGGCTTCCTTAAATGCTCAATGTTCGACTTGCATTTATCTGCAAAATGGAAGTGCCAACATACCCGAGGGAAAATGTTTTATGTCTGAGTCTCAAGGGTGGAATGAATGAATATTTTTCAGCCTATAAACAGGTATCAGTGATGCTCTTCATCATCAAACATTTTTTATAAAAGAGTGTAAAGAAAAAAAAAGGGTCTTGTTAACTTTAGTGCAGAGTAACACTTTTCATGGTTAGGAAAACCAGAGATTTTTTTGGTCTCATGGCCTTATACATCTTTAAGTTAAGGGAATCCATTATGAACAAGAAAGGAGCCTAAATGGACTAATCTCTACAGCAGTGCCTCGTGTACTGATGTACATAGGGCTGGGCTGTACCAATGTAAGACTGTAGATATCTCTAGATTAGAGAAGAAAATCTTTACCATTTTTTAAAAGCCTGGAGTTCTTCAATACAGTTTAAGACCAATGAAAGGCATTTTTTAAATTAAAGAAAAATGTAGGCACACAAAAATCTTTCAAAGATGAAAGACACAGACATTTTCCCGATTCCAAGCCTATTTTACAGAGCTGTTTGCTCTGAGAAAGAGCATTTGGAAACAGGGCCAGGCCAGGTGAAAAACCTATGGGAATCTGCCATCCGATGAATCTGTGGCACCAAATTAGAACAAACAGGAGCATCCTGCCACATAGCGCTGAGTCATATTTCTTTCCTTTAGCAGAAGTAAAAGCAGTAACAACGTGGCCCAAGCCTGCAGCAGGCTAAAAAGGAGCTCTTCTGGCATCACTCATTTCTAGTGTGGGTTACTCAGGCTTCATACGACTTTTTCAAGGGGTTACTTACCTAATGAGTTTTGCATTAAAGGGGTCAGGTACAGGTTACTGAAAGTTATTAAAAGCAAGAAGCTGAAACGAGGGGAAAATGGGTTCTTTTGGGGCATGTGGTATCAAATAAAAACACAGGCTGTGTGTCACATAATGTGGGAAGAGAGAGAACCCATGCAAGAACAGCCTGCCCTGCAATGGGGCAGCTCTGAGTAGGACGCAGTCTAGCACAAGTCCATCCCTTGGACATCCGAGGTAGCAGTGGCAGAAGTGCCACCCAACAAGGATCCTAAGAGTCTGCCACTCTTTCACGTTAAGAAAGAATGCTTCCTGTGTAGTTATTCCTGCAGCTTCCGCAAACAGGTCTTAGCAAGTACCCACAGGCAGAAAGAATACATCTAGCGGGGGCTAGAAGGCTTCCAGTACCCATCCTCTCATATATATATGTGTTTTTCTTAAAATAAATTCCATGAACTCATAAAGCTCTCATCTGCAATCAAATGCAAAAGCAGAGCATCCTATTGAGAGGCTCTGAAACACACACATCAGCCTCAAAGCAAACCAGCCTTCCAGTCTCAGAGAAGACTGGCTCAGTTCACAGGCAAGGAAGAGGCCTCTCCTGACTCCTCAGAGGCGAGAAGAATGCCTTCAGATGGGCTTGTACAGCAGCGTGGTGACATATTTCTTCTTGTAGCGATGGGTTGCACTAAGGACCATCACACTGTCCTGTAAGGGAAAGAAGTATCGCTGCTAATTCATTAGTTCAGGCCACAGGCAGCTGTTCCCAGCCATCAGTCCTTCACAGCCACTCACTGTTAACAGAGATAATTTGATACAAAAGAAAGAGGTTGGTTTTAGAATCAAATCAGTTGCAATTCCAATCTGGATTCAGACCATCGTATTTGCAGCTGTGAGTAATTCATTTACAGTTTCTAAACCTTTTGTCCCCCTCATGATACAAAAGATAACCCCTATCAATGAGCGGTTCTGATGATTACAAGATAGTATCGGACAAAGAACTTCACACATAAAAAGTGCTGAAAAAATTCTAGTTTCCTACGTCACTGTCTTCCTCACTTCAAATTCAATACTAGGATTAAAACAAAGAAAAAAATGAAATACCCTATTCTCTAGGTCTAGAACGAAAACAAATACAACAAGAAAAAAGGAAAATGATACTAGTGAAAAACCATTTCCAAGCCTTAGCTTGGAATATTTATTATTCCCACTGATACCAGGAATGAACTCAAAAAGTTCTCTCTGATCTAAAAGGAACCAAGGAATCCCCCTCTACTCCTGAACGAAGTAGATACAATTTTCCTTAGAAATACATTTGATCCAATGGATCAATGCCAAATGGCCTGAACAATGAGAGAGCCATGAAAGGGTCAAAGCCAAGATGAACAATGATCAAGAACCTCCCCTGGGTCAGATCCAGTAAGAAGAAAGTAAGAGGGATCAGTTCCCAGGATGTGTTACAGACCATGGTTATAACACAGGAGATGGCAGGCCTATGAAATCAACCGACAGCCAAGGAGCAGTTAGAGGAGTAATGAAGTTCAGTCAGATCCCCCACACCCATGGGAATCCAATTTAAAAACCAGTGTATCTTCCTACCTTCCACCAAACTGCATTACCCACAATGATTGTTTCCCAGGTTAACATTCTGTGACCAGAGTATGATGATACACAGCCTAAATATGACTGAGAAGCAGGGCAGGAAGAAAGTTCAACCACAGGGGAGACTTCACAGAAACAAGAAGCAAGTAAGAAAAAGACCTACTTCAGGAGACCTGGTATAATGATATTTAGGAAAGAATATGGGATTAGGATAAGAGGACTGGACCTCAGTCCTGTCTCTGGTACTTACTGGCAATTTGACCTTCTCTGAGCTTTAGTTTCTTTATCTATAAAACAGGGGTTAAAAATAATACTTATCTCACAAGGTTTTATAAAAATGAAACTCAATAATAAATATATTTATATACTACCATATAATCTATTGAAGTCAGCTCTGTTAGTGATCTGTATAATCTAGCCACACCTAAAAAACGTTAAGTGGTTGAAAGAAAAATTACTGGGCCTACCCTAGATGCACTTACTCACTCTCTAGGGATGCAGCCCCTGAATTTGTATGGACACAAACTTCCCTAGGTGATTGTGATGATCATCAGCCTAGTCTGATAGCCACAGAGCTATACAACTGTATTCTAATAGCCAAATCATAAGTGCATGGCAAGGGAGAACAAAACAGATATTTTCAAGCCAGAGTCCAAAGCAACAGAAAAACAAAGGCCTCCAGAGGTATGGGAGACAGGGAAAATCTGGACACTTTCTTCTGTACCTACTGTATAGGAGGATGCAAGCACTTGGGTATCTGACGAAGGTGCGTGAAAGTAGTTCAGTTCCACATTTTAAAAGTGGAAGTCTTATTATCACATTCAACCATTTTTTGCACAGGAAGCTAAACTGATTTTTCTGCAAATGAACTCCAACTACAATGAATTCAAACTTAAGTGGGTGGCATAAAGGTTCTAGCCACCAGATAAGAAACTGGGAAGCTAAAAAGTCTATTCAATTATGGGATAGTTCAGCTAGTCAGAACCAGATACAGAGACTAAGATTTAAAGACAACTCTCTAGTATAAAAAAAGTTTATCTATAGTTAGACCATTACTATCAGCTTCAGCTTTGATAAGTATTAGAGCAAGTAACAACTGTAGAATAAGCATTACCCTTACCCTCTCCTTGCAGGGAGCTGTAAAGAAGCAGAACTACCACTTACCTTAATGGACAATGCATAGAGGTGGTTTAACATAACGTGGTTGGGCTCAGGGAGTAAGGCTGGGTCACACTGAGAGAGAAAAAAAATCAGTTAATGAGATTAAATGCACAGCAAAGACAAATAGCCAATGCTTTCTCAGAACACTTTGGGACTGCTAAGAACTCTAAACTAGAACACTTTATCTCCTTTAAATAACATAACCAGGGCTGGGGATTTAGCTCAGTGCTTTGGTGGCCTGCCTTGCAAGCGCAGGGACCCGAGTTCAAGCCCTGGTACCAAAATAAATAAATAAATATAAACAAATAAATAAATAACATAACCACTCCAATATATACAATAATACATTTCCATTACAGAGAATTTGGACAATTTTCAGTCCACAGCACAAACACAACCTCAGCATCTACTAATGTTCCTTAATAGAGCTAAAACAAAATCCTGCCTACAATAATGGAAGATTTGTGTTAAGTGGTAAAAATAATCTTACTGGGAATCAATTATAATGAATAGAGATGTAAATCATAAGCAAAAAAAAAAAAAACCCAAAAAACTGTAATCCTTTTGTATATCCACCAAGCAATCTTGACTTGGAACAGAAGCAGCAGACACTTGTAGTAGCATGTAGCATAGTTCGGTCTTGATAAACTGTGAGGTCAGCTTCTTCAGTCAAAACTCAGCCATGGTAAAAGGAATCTTTAAGTATAATGCTGCTGATTATGTAACGATTCATAGTCTCGACATACCTTTGTAATAATCTCACTCTAAGATTACTGAATTTTGGCCCACACTGTCCTAGAGAACCCTACATGCTCAGGATACTCACAGAAATATTAGTGTCCTTGTTAAGAATAACTTGAAGTAGGTGAGGAGGAAGGATGGGTGGGGATTTGAATCTCTCCTCAGATCGAAACGCATACATTTCTTGACCATAAGGACCTGGGGGTGAGCTGGAAAGATCTGAAAGATATTTATGTAAAAATGAGGGAAAGTTGGAAAAATGAGTAACAATACATGGACAAAGCTATCAATACATGCCCATTAATATTAAGTACTATTATTAATTGTTAAATGTTAAATATTTGATATTAATGTTAAATACAAAAGCCACGGATCATAAACTTGTGGCCTACTGGATCTACAACGATTAAGGTAGCAAAAGTCGAAGACCGAGGCATCCTGGACATAAAGCACAAAGTTCCCTAACATGGCAACAAGCCGTGAGAGACGAGAGGTCGAAGATCTAGACTCAGGGATGAGCTAATCTGTTTATCAGCTGAACGACTGCACAAATCAATCCCTTTACTGTGATCAATCTCCTCATAATTCTCTTCTACCTTTTTTACAGTGTTTTTGAGGAAATCGAAGAGATAATGGATAATTAAGATGCCTTATAAACTTTCAAACAATGTGAAAAGGTTAAATTTCCTCTTTTTTCTACCTAAACAGCAAATATTGTTATAAGCTCTCTAAGACTACTGATATTATAACAACTGCAGCAGTAAGGAGAAAATGTAATAGCAGTCATTAGGAAATTGTAAACTAAAACCATAATAAGATACTACCTCTTACTTACTAGGATGGCTGAAATAAAAATGACAGACTAACAAGTATTGGAGAATTGAAACCTTCATTCTACAGTATTCTAATTGCTAGTGGGAATGTAAAACAATACAGCCATTTTGGAAAAGTTTGGCAGTTTCCCAAAGAGTTAAATATAGTTTCCTTATGACCCAGAAATTATATTCCTGGGTACATACCCAAGATAAAACATATATCCACACAAGAACTTGTAACTGGATGTTCATAAAAGCATTATTTACAATAGCCAAAGAGTAGCAACAATCCAAATGTCTACCAACAATGAATGGCTAAACAAAATGGTATGTCCATATCATGGAATTTTACTCAGTCATAAATGAAAGTATAAATATATATTACAACACGGATGAATCCTGAAAACATTGTACTGGTGAAAGAAGCCACACACAAAAGACCACAAATTATTTGACCTTATTTATATGAAATGTCCATAATAGGCAAATCCATAAAGACAGAAAGTAGATTTGTGCTTGTTAGAGACAAAAGAGAGAAACAAATGGGAAGCTACCGCTAAAGTTTCTCTTACAAATACTCTGAAATTTTTAGTAATAACAGTTTCTGAAGTAACAGTTGTACAACTCTGACTATACTAAAAATTGCTGAACTGTACAACTTAAAAGGGTGGATGGATGTTATGTGAATTATATTTCAAAACTATAAAGTATACAGACTAAATGAAAATGAAAGTTTTGTTTAAAAAAATTTAACGTAGCCCAGACATGGTGGTATAAGGCTGTAATCCCAGCATTCAGGAAGCTGAGGCAGAGGCCAGCCTGGGCTACATAGTGAGTTCAACTACATAGCAAGAACCCATCTCAAAACAAAAAATAATAAATAAAATATTTAAAAATTAAATAATGTTTTATTGTCTCCCCTGACCATGATTTTAATAACTACTTCATTTAAAGAACTCAGATTTCAGTTAAATGAAGCAAAAGAAAAAAGTAGCATGTGCTATTAAGTAATATCTTTAAAATACATAGAATTTGAAACTTCTTAAAGCACTTTCAATTACAAAACAGGACTGCAAAGTACAAAGAGTTTTTTCCTTTTTACCATAAAAAATACAAATTGGTTAAATGATTTGACCAAAGTCACATATGTAGCTAGATATATTACATGAGAACACATAAAAACTCATCTATAAATTCCTAATAAAATGTATGCTAAGCCTTACCTCAGTGGAGGGAAATTAGGTCAAAGAGGAAATAGAGAAATATCAAAAGTATACTAACCTTCTCACTATATAATCTGGGGGGGGGGGGGGTACTGGGGATGGAATTCAGGACCCTGAGCTTGTGAGGCAGGCAGCAGAATCGAGCTAAATCCCCATTCCCTCACTATATAATTATGACTGCCTATTATTCATTGGTTGCTTTGCCTTTGCCAGAATCATATAATGCAAAAATGTAGTCATAAGAAGCTGCATAATTCATTACTTTTACACCCTTTGGGTCACTGCTAAGAAGAATGTACAGCTTAATTGAGCTTATATAATGAAAATAATTATTTGCAAATTTTCCCTAAACAGGTAATTATTGTATAAAGATTATTCTTTCAAAAACTTCACAAGTCTCCTGTGCCCTGAGATTCAGATATGCTCCACTTAAGGTACGGTGATTGCACTGAGTCCAAGCTCCTGGTTTTACAATCAAGGAACCGAGAACCCAAAAGATTGAGGGACTTGTCTGTGATGGCAAAACTAGTTAGCAGCAGCAGGCCTTGAACTCACAGCTGAAAAGTATGCTCAGTGGAAATACAGTGCATAGTTCTTCAGACAAGAATATATGTCTTATTAGCCGGGCATGGTGGTGCACGCCTATAATCCCAGCACTGGAGAGGCTGAGGCAGGAGGATCGCTGTGAGATCGAGACCAGCCTGAGCTACATAGTGAGTTTCCAGGTCAGTCTCACTACATAGTGAGACCCTGTCTCAAAAAACCAAAAAAAAAAAAAAAAAAAAGTCTTATTGTAAAATAATAACCAGTAACTGAATGTGGTTTGCTAACTACTCACTAGGTAAATACAAGAAAAGATAAAGACCTTGAAAACAATAGAACTACAGGAAAGAAAAGTATACAGGTCTTTTTTTTTTTTTTAACCAGTTTTTAAGCAAAAGCACCCAAAATTTCAAGTACATACAAAGGAATTGTGATTTTTAATTTAGTTTTTAACTAATTTCCCCCCAAGGAATACTATACTAGTAGGATCTCATGAAACTACTGAATTGCCAAGTGAGCTTTCAAACTAGCAAGATTAAGCTGCAATAGCTGTAAGAAAAGAAACCAGGCATTTCTAACTTGATTAATACCATCAGAAGTCAATGGAAAATATTACTAGAAATATCTTTTCAAACTCTACAGGCTATAGCCTATTAGAGGTCTATAAAAGATAAAATAAAAAAGTGCATCACATCTAATAAAAAGCAAACATTACATCAAAGGGACCTGTGTTAGAGTTGTGTGTGTGTTAGGTTGCAATGCAAAACAAATGTCTGCCTGTGGATCCCAGTTAACAAGTCTGAAAAAAAAGGGCTGGGGATTTAGCTCAGTGGTTTCTCTGCCTGATTCACAAGGGCAAGGTCCTGAGTTCGATCCCTGGTACCAAAAACAAGTTTGAGATAAAATACACAAGACTGAAGGGGGCCCAAATATTTGCAGGATACATAAATATACAAAGGATTCAGAAGACTCCTGAGAAGAAATGGAAACAGAAAACTTAAAAAACACTATGGGGAAAGAATATATAACAAAAGAAAGACACAGCAAGAGAGGGCAAATACTACCAAATTACCTCGACATGATGTCTCAGAGCTTTCCATAGAGTCTAGCTTTAAAGCATCAAATACTTCAAAATCAGATTTCTTGACATGGATCAAATTGTTAATTGTGCCAAGCTGACTGGTAACCACAGGCTGAAACAGTGAATAGAAAAAAATTATTGAATCCCCTTTTCAAATCCATCCCTGAAGGCCATACAAAAAATAATATAGGAAACCAAAGTACTATACAGGTCTTCTACCACAGAATGTGAGACAGACAGAGAGAGAGAGAGAGACAGAGACAGAGAGAGAGAGAGAGAGAGAAATCCTCTAGCATAGGGGGCTATTGTCCATCAATCCTGATAACAATGAGGCTGCTAAACCAAAGTCTGTCCTTGGCAATGTGCTTACCTCTGATGGATCATGAACCCATTGTCCATCCACAAAGAATTTGTATTGGTGCTCTCCCTCAGGGAGGTCCAGGATGGCAACAAAGTCATTATGGCTACAAAAGAAAACCAGTCAAACAAGCTCTTTTTAGAAAACAGAACATGAAAATCATAGTATACCAATGACCTCTCATGTTCCTAAGCCTCTGAATTTGTCATGGAAAAAATGTGTAAACCCTTTCTCTTTTCTTATCACCTTGGACATGTACTTGCCAACACTCAACCCCACCCCCTACCCACCGCAATAAACTGTTTTAACCAGGTTTTGGAAAAAAATTAAGTCAATGATTCCCTAAAATTTATCTCTTCTGTACAAATATTTTGATAACTCATAAGTAAAGATAAAGCAACAGTTAGGCTTAGGTACAGCAGCGTTTCAAAGTATTCTGTCCCCGCCAAAAACAAAACAAACAAATTAAAAAAAAAACAAAAAACAAAAATCAAAGTCTTCTGTCCCTACTTTGGTGAGACTTTTCTAGAAAAGGACTTACTATACAAAGGATTATTCTGATAAAGGTTAAATAGTAATGAACTATTTACTGCTTTGCAAAACAACAGTGACAATAACAAAAACAGAAAAACAAATAACATTACTACATAGCTACACAGAACTTAACAGTGTCATCTTTCTTCATCTTAACAGTGTAGAAATCAAAGCAACAGAACCCAGCCAGTTAAGACTTGTTGCAAACAAAGAAAATATCCGGGATACTCTCTCCTAAAGAATGTACCCACAAAGCTGTTACAAACGCCCTTGAGGCAATAATTCTAAGTAATAAAAAGATCTCTGACTTATTATGAAACAATGGCATAGATACAATAAGTAGCCACAGAAAGGGGCATGTTCTTCACAGAGTTCTTTGTAGGAGAAAAGCAATCCAGCCTGGTTTCTATTCTAGAAAGTTAGCTCCTGGACTCTGTAGACTCAACCACACACATCTTCACCTCTTAATCAGTGGAATCTTGGTGCTCCAATTGTTGAAAGACCCAGAGATGAAGACCTCCTTGCCTCCTTCAGACCAGCGGATAACAGTGGGCCGGGCCTGCTGTGTGGGCTTTACAGAGTCGTCCAAATCCTGCTGCCATGATACAAAGTCTTTGTCCCCAGGTAGCTGTAAGAAGGAGTAGGTCATCCCTAGAATAAATTGTGACCCAAGAATTCTTAAAAGGTTACTCTTCTCCCCCAGGGTAAGGTGGGCTACTAGGCTTTTAAGATTTACAGCTTTTAAGATTTAATATTAGCAAAAAAAAAAAAAAAAAAAGATTTAATATTAGCAATTAAATCTATAGTCAAACTATAGAAAAAAGTCTCTGTATAATTACTACACTTATGCCAGGGATTTTGTGCTCAGTAGTTTAGAGGCTCCCAGGAAGACTACAGACTGTGGCAAAAGGTGTGGCATTTTATCTTTGGGACAGATCGGATTCATCAGGAATTTCCAAATTAAGAATTCCAGATAATGTTTCAGCCTTCACCTGAAAACCATGAGAAATATGGTGGGGATCATAGCACCCTCATAAACTTCATACTGTTACTCAAATAAAAAGTACAGAAATATCCATACTGAGAAAAACATACAATAAAGACACTGGATTAGAAAAAACACATACTACTCAAGTTTACAATATCTGAGGCTGAGGCAGGAGGATCTCTGTGAGTTCGAGACCAGCCTGGGCTACATAGTTGAGTCCCAAGTCAGTCTCAACTACATAGTGAGACCCTGTCTCAAAAAAAAAAAAAAAAAAGTTTACAATATCCTTTCAATGCATGCAAAACTCAAACAGTTAAACATTTGTTAAGAATGAACCCCTGAAGCTCCCGCAAGGACTTCCAACAGAAGAGAACATATTTAACATGTGCCTGAAGAGCACTGGGACTTAGAAGTGCAGTGACATCTAAAACTTACAGATGGAGACTGCCTCAAGTTCAAAGCCAGGCTGATAGCATAGCAAGGCCTTGTCTCCCCGCCGCCCCACAGAAAGGTCTGTTTGTTAAGCAAAAGCAATGAAGTCCTGATGTCATGAGCTTGATATTTTAAAATGTAAATTATTTTTATTTAAAGTTGGTGAGAAATGTTTTCATTAAAATATATTTTACTTGGACTGGGGATTTAGTTCAGTGGTTCTGCCACCTGCCTTGTAAGTGCAAGGTCCTGAGTTCAATCCCTGGTAAAAAAAAATTATATATATATATTATTTTTAACCCCCCCAAAAAAAACTATAGAAAAAGACTCATCTAGGGCCAAAAATGCTCAAATGGCTAACAGTTTAACATGAGTCTATAGATCACTCTTTCAGTCCCTCAGGATATTAAAAATTATCCTTACTGCCTATTACTGGTTTAACTCACAGGAGGCAGGCAATTATGATATGCTTCTCAGTACCTCCGAAGAGAAAAATATAAAGTATGGCTTTCTTAAAAAGCAAGTCAGGTAATGCATTTTTAATTTTCTGTACATTATGATGTGTTATCAGATCAAAAACTCTTTCTAGCTGGGGAGAAACTGCCCCTCCCAGGGTTAGCCAGTTTTGCTTTTTAGTATGTTTGTGATACATAATAAATACACACTGTGGGGAGCTGGTATATATACGAATCACATCACATAATCTTTTTTCTTTTTTTACCCTGCCCCTCCCTCCATCTCCATCCCTTCCCATCTCCAGAAGATCTATCTTCTTTTTCCCATCTTTTATTTTGCTCTTTAAATTATATGTTAGGTTTCTCATATAAGAGAACCATGCAATACTTAACCTTCTGTCTCTGGTTTATTTCACATAGCATTATGATCTCAGGTTATCAATTTTCCTTCAAGGGACTGACATTTGACCTTCTTTGTGGCTGAGTAGTACACCACTGTGCACAAATACCAGATTTTCCTTATCCTTTCATCCATTGAGGGACAGATAGGCAGCTTCCAAGTTTTAGCTACAGTGCGTTGGGTATGCATGAATCATTGTAACATGACATCTGTAACTCTTAGGAAGAGACCCAGAAGAGGTATAGCTGTTATCAAATGGAATCTTTATTTTTAGTGTTCTGAGGAATCTTCATACTGATTTCCTTACTGGATGTAGTAGTTTACATTACCACGAAGAACGCAGGTTTCCTCTGTCTCTCCCTCCCACAACCTCACCACACTTCTTTGGTTTTGAGTTCCTGATCAGAGCCATTGTTTCTGGAGTTAAGACAGAAATCTCGGTGTCATTTTGATTTGCATTTCCTTAATGGCCAAAGAGGCTGAACATTTTTTCATGTACTTACTGGCAATCATACACTACTTCTTTTGCGAACTGTCTCTTCATTTGTCCATTTTTCAATCGGATCTTTCACTTTTGGAGGTCTATTTTTTTTTCAGTTATTTATATATTGCAGATATTAGTCCTCTTCTGAGAAGTAGCTGGTAAAATTTTCCACATTCTATAAGTTGTCGCTTCACTCTTGATTTTTTACTTTGGTATGCTTTTAATTTGATATACAGAGGTGCCTCATTCACCAACACTTCTATATGTGAACAATTCGCTTCATGCATGGAAGTGTTTGGCAGAATTTTTCTTCCACTCACAAATTTCACATCGCGTGAATGTGACAGCACCCATCTTCCCCCAAATTATGCAACAAATTAAGTTTGTGCACCACTGTACCACTGTAACCCCATTTGTTGGTTTTGGGTGTTCTGTTCAGACAGTCCTTACCTGGACCTATGTCTTCAAGAGTTTTACCTATTCTACCTTCCATTAGATTGTTTTAATAATATCTAGATTTCTGGTACATTTTAATACAGGGTGAGAGAGATGAGTCTAGACTCATTCTTCTGCATGTGGATAACCAGTTTTCCCAACACCATTGTTAGATAGGGCTATTTTCTCCAGCGTATGTTTTTGGCCCCTTTGTCAAAGATCAGATGGCTGGATGTTTCTGCATCTTCTATTTTGTTCCACTGATGTATGTCTGGTTCTGTGTCTGTACCATGCTGGTTTTTGTGACTGTTTTGGTTCTGGTTTTTTGAGACAGGGTCTCTCATTATGTATAGCTCAGGCTGTCCCTGAATTTGCTATATAGCCTAGTTTGGCCTTGAACTTGCAGCAATCTTCCTGCCACAGCCTCCTGAGTGCTGGAATTACAGGCATACCAAGCCTGGCTTCCCATTCTGTTTTCATCACTGTTGCTTTGTGACATAACTTGAAATCCAGGATCACTTTTTTTTTGTACTGGGGATCGAACGCAGGACCTTATGCTTGTGAAGCAGGTGACAGAGCCAATGAACTAAATCCCCCACCCCTCAGGATTGCTTTTGCTATTCCGAATCTCTTCTGGTTCCATATAAATTTTAGAATTGTTTTTATGCACTAGTTTTATAAAGAATGCTATTGTATTCTGATTGAGACTGCACTAAATCTATGTATCAGTTTTGGTAACATAGTCATTTTACAATATTGGCCCTGCCATGTAGGAACAGGGGGTATCTTTCCATTTTCTAGTCAGGTATACATTTTTACAGGCAAATATAAGCTTGTAATGAAGGTTACAGATACTAAAATTCCTAAACTAACTCATCAACTCTATGTTACACAAAGAAGGGACATTAAAAATTAAAAATCCAAGGCCTCGGGATGTAGCTCAGACATAGACTACTTGCCTATCATGCTCACATCCAGGGTTTAATCCCCAGCCTGGCAAAAAATTATTTAAAATTAGAAATCAAATAACTGAATTTATAAAATTGGAGAAGTTACAAAATCTTAGATGCTCACTTATGCCAGGCTTATACTAATTATTTCAGGGGTAAGGATGCAAATTTTTGGAGCTTCAAGGAGCAAAAGGTCAATAACACAGCTTCCTTTAACTAAGGCAATTCCATCATCATATGAGATTTTTAGGATTCTAAAAAAAAAAAAACTGTTTAGTTTCTTTTCATTATTCTTCTTTAAGACCAAGAATTGGCAAACTACAGCCAGTGAGTTAGATGTTTTTATACAGTTTTTATGGGAAAATAGCTATGCTCATTTGTTTATCTACCTACTTTTATGCTACAGCAGCAGAACTGAGTAGTTGCAACAGAAACTGTATAATCTGGCCTGTTATAGAAAACTTCGCTAACTCCTGCTTTAGGTAACTTAATGGTAAGTAAATAGGTAACTAATACTTTACAGTATTGAGTCAAAACATTACACAATAAAATAATGTGCATTAAAAGGAAAAAAACACTAGCTTGTTTCCTTTTTCAAAAACGGGAAAGTCCATATTGTCACTATTCTTCAAAGCTACAGTATGAAAAATTAGAAGCATAAACCAAAGAAAATGACAAAAATATTGAAGGGACTTTTATAAGGAACTGGCTTTAGAGAAAATCTCAGTCTCCATATTCTCAAAGCAGTGCACTCTGGCTGCATTTGAATTATAGGAACATATGCCTAAGAATAACCCTAATAGTTTGATTCAGATATAGGATTTGGGAGATGAAAAGCTTCCCAGACAATACTGTGATTGTGTTAAAACAAACAAACAAACAAAACTCTCATCTTTTAAGGTACACCCCAAAATGCTACAGATAATATTTGTAATAATATCTAGTATGGAAGGAAGGTATTTCCTTCAAAAGAATTGGTTGGGGGAATAATGGGCTGGGGAACAGATGATGCATATTCGCTTACAATTTGATTACTGTTTCAACTGGGTAACAGGTACAAAGAGTTCACTTTATTGTATTCCCTACTCTGTAAATGTTTCAAGTTTTCCATAAATTGGCTGGGAATTTAGCTCAGTGGTTCCACTGCCTGCCTTGCAAGTGCAAGGTCCCCATCCCTAGTACCAAAAAAAAAAGAACAACAACAACAACAACAAATCTTGAGTGATTCTAATGCACAAACATTGGAATGTTGAGAACCACTGAATTATTGCAATGAAAAAAGGCTGGCACTCCAAGCAAAATAGGCCCCACTACCACTGTTTCCATCAATTACTTTTAGGACAGGATTTTCAGTTTAGAATTTGAAAGCTATGAACTATTAATACGCCTAGCTTTGGAGCAAAGCCCTTCCACTTATGCCATGACATTTCTGTGGTAGGAATGAATACAGCTGACTAACAGAAAGATTGTTTATTCTGTTAAACAGTCAACAAAAGCACCAGGAAAAGAGGCAAAAGGACAATTAAAATTACAATTTGAAGATGTTTAAGTAGAGGGAAGAAAGTAGATTAAGAACTATAAAATTTAGATTTGTATGACACCTTAGGAATTATCTGAACCAATTTTCTTATTTTACTAATGGCAAGACAGAGGTGAGGAAAAGAAGGATCCAAAGTAGACCCCAATTCCCAAAGAGTGACCTAGCTCTCATTCAGGACACCAATTACTGCTGTCACATTTTGATAAATTACACTGTACCTAAATCCTGAGTCATCAATGTAGGAAAAGGGTAAAAAAATACAATGAGGCCTGCCATCTTGAGAAAGTAAATTCAGATGGCTAGTCAGCCCAAAAGATGAGGAAGTCCTGAAGTAGGAGAGGAAACCCCTAGAAATGCCCTTTCAGTCACTGTCTCTGTGATGACGCTCTTATGCAGGATCCAAGAAAATAAGCCACAGAATCCAAAATTCATGGGCTACCAATGTGGTAAATAAAACTCCATTTATTCTCTGATACCCAGTTCAGTGAAAAATGATGAAATGTGAAAACTCAAACATCTCCAACCTCCTCAATCCCTCAATTTTCCTCTTCCACTCTAGACAAATTGAAGGAATTAAATGTGCTTCATGTTGACAATTCTTAAAAATGACTACTGACACAGCAATGACAATCACAATGCTGTGAGCTCCACCTGTTTTCTAGAGGAAGAACAAAAATTTCCTCTTCCTGAAAGTTGTTAGAAGTGGGTTGTCCTTTTCAGACCCAGGCAACATTCTGAAGTCCTCATGGGGATTGGAGAAATCTGGAATTATTGGCTCGCTCACTTCAGGAGCAGCTGGGCGTGCAAGCAGCACAGCCTCAGCCACCACAACTACAAAGTATGGGATAAAAATTGAGCAGTCAACCAAATGATGTCTTTTATCGATCCCCAAGACCAAACAAAAGTATTCAGATAAGCGGTGGCTGCTCAGAGCCATGCCAAAGAGGAGAAGGATCAAAAGGGCAGAGCTCCTAGAAGAGCAGAAATGATATAAACACACAGAAATTTTGAGGGAAAAGAAACTCGTTTTGAGGTAGGACAAAAAAAAAAAATAGGTAAAAAGGAGACGAGGAAAGGCATTTTTAAATTGTACTTTTGATTTAAAAATGCAGGTTCAGAACACAAATACAGTCCCCCCCTAAAAAAAAAAAAATTCTTAAGACCCAACGCGCCTTTTAAAACCGTAAAGACCCAATCAATAAACCTGGCCATTCTTTTACCTGCAATTGAGCTTTGGCCATTCCCTTTCACTTGCAAATGGACCTCTGCCAGACATATATATATATATTTTTTAAACTTATTTTCCCCATCAGTGGAGTTGCTGTCACCTGAGAAAGGACCACCATCTCCTCTACAGAAAAAGCCCACTGTCTTTCCTCGCCTCTTTCCATAGATTCACAGGGCCCTCAGGTTCCAGCCCAAAGTCCCCCATAAGTAAGTACACCCAGCCCCAGACTGAGGCGCCTCTCTCTCTCTTGCACTCTATTTCTCTGAGAGCGTATTTTTAAAACTCTGTCTAATAAATCCCTTCATGCCTCTCAACAGTCCTGCAGATTCTTTTTCTCCCTACGGAGTTGGCGAGTTGACCCTACAGGTAGGATGCGAGCCTGTTCCTCATCTCCACTTTGAGAACCTCCCGGGGGCCCGTCCGGGGACGATTTTAACCTCGTCCAGGCAAATGTGAGAAACCTGTCTAGGGCCAGCAGCGCAGACAATCCACCGTCGTTAGTTTTCCGCCCCGGGTTACAACCTACACACTCAGCCACCTTCTGTGGCCCGGACTGGTCGGAACGCCAGGAAAAACAAGAATTTTTCCTCTAGGTCGCGTTCTGAGGCGGCGCCGCATGAATAATTTATCGCCCGACACATTCATCCCTGGAAAATACTAAGCCGGTTCAGCGTAAGGAAAAAGACCCCAGAGGGGAGGCGGCAACGGGGAGCTCGGCGGCGCCTACCTTGGAGTCCGGCAGGCTGAAGACGCTGGGGTCGTCGGTGCTCCCCACCATGATCTTGTGCTCCTTGCCCGCGCCGTGGCCGCCCGCACCCTCGCCGCGCGTAGCCTTGGCG